TACTATATATATATATATATATATATATATATATATATACACATATATACAAACCTATCGCATTGTTCACGCGGACTCACGGCGGATAGAAAAGGATGCGGAATCATGGTTTTTCATAAACGATCCTCGTTCTTCTACTATGCCGATGAAGCATATATTCGTACTTGATCCGAGAAGTATGTCGGTTCAAAGAATTATTATTTTAAATCGTTTGTATTTCATATGAAGAGTTTTGAAGTGCAATTGAAAAGTGATCATTCAGTTAATTGTAATTAATTAATCATTTTTATACCGTGTACTTAGCCCGATGAATTAATCAAAGATAAGTTAGATAATGTTCTTGTATGGAATTGTTTGTATTTTGTATGAAAAGTTATGAAGTGTTATTAAAAAGTTTTGCAAGTTATTCAGATAATTATAATTAAATATTTAAGAGTCAGTAGGAACAACAAGCCAACTCATTTATACGTCATTTGCGCGGTGCAGATACAAATCTGTATTCTATCATATTTTATCTCGTAATAATATTTTCTCGAGGCAATATTTTGTCACGAGTCTTGTTTTGATCTATGTTTTGCGAAGTCGTGAAACCTAACCTGTTACAGAGCCGGATTTTGCAATTTGGTCTTTAAAATAATATAATATAAGCTAATTATTTTAAACCGAGTTCGAAATTTGAATAAAGTCTTTATCAGGATCTCGAGTCCGTTTTATTTAAATAATGTCTGTTACTTGTAGCGCGCGCATCAGGATCGCACCAAATATATTTGGAGTTTTTCCGTTAAATCGCATACAAATTATTGTGAGTAAGAAGTTCCTAAGGCAATCGGTGGATGGCGCCAAGAATGCTGTTCGGCGACCAAAAAGAACGCCTCTCAATCGACCACAGCGCTGTCGTGCGATACATCGAGACGACCAATCAAAAAAGGCTGATGCAATCAGTATTTGTTTTAAAATCATCGAACATGCTCTAATTGTTCGGAGCAGCGGGCGATAGGCACTCTCTCCTCAGTCGGCGGATTGGACAGACGTGTCATCCGTGAGAATCCAAATCGGATAGTCGAAACCTAGTCATAGTCGTAGTCGAGGTATCGTGTGAATCGATATTATTATTATTATAATATTATAGTTGTACTTTGAGCAGAACTCGTCAGTGAAAATACATTCTCAGTATTATATTGATAAATTGCCTACAAGTTATTGTGCCTGCTCCATTAGCCATCACGTGGCGATCAACTCCTCTGAGTGCGCGTACTAGCCGAACGGACAGTATTTGAAATAACGGACACCAATTCCTGACAAACATTATTCAAATATTCAAATTCAAAATAACTAAGAATCTTACAATTGTGAGTGCCGATCACCCGCCTTTCCTTGCTCTTGTAACCGCCGCGTGGCAAACGAACTTGTGGCGCCTTTGCGCTAGTTCCGCTGCGCTATTTGGCGCGTCCACTGCCGAATGCCATCGTCCACCGAGGAAGCAGACGATCATATCACGACCAGTGTGTAACATCCGCCTTCTTCCCCGTCAGCCACATCGTGTTGAGCGGCCATTACGCGGTTCCTCGTGCCTGGCATCGGACGCACAGACAGTCACACGTCTAGCGCAGGAAGAGAGGGAGAGATAGTTTCAGGTATCACCCTGGTCGTCCATGTCGTGCGAGTGTGTGATCGCGCCCTGCGTGGTGTCGGGTGTCGCGTACGTGTCGGGTTCTGTGTCGCGATCGTGTCTGTGTCACGCACGACTACGTGCGGCGTTCCGCCTGTTGCGCCGGGTGCTCGTCGCCCCTCTCGCTCTCCGTGCGCCTTCACTTCTCTCGTCTGCGCGTAAGACGCTGGTGCGCCAGTTCCTTCCTTTGCTTGCGTGTGACTGGCTGGTTCTTGCTCTCTTTCTCGCTCGCGTGTGTGTTGCCTCTCTTTCTCGCTTGCTCGCGTATGTTTCATCCGCAATTCGCCCTCTGCGTTTTTCTTTTACGTGAGCTCTGTTTTACCCGTGTCCGCAATGCGTTTCATGCTCGTCTGCGTTGCGTCTGTCAATCGTCTGTTGCGCCCTTTCAGTTTCTTTAATCAGCGTTAGGCGGCAGCTGTCCGCGATCTCCTGCGATTCGCGAGCGTTCCGCGTGGCTACGCAGCGTTCTTCGGCGATCCGCCACCTCTTTTGCGAGCGATCTTTTTCAGTATTTCTTTTTTTTCTTTTTGTTGTAACCGACTGTTCTAGAAATTATTATTCGTTGTTGAAATAAGCGAGATCGAGTCAGAATTTCGCGAGATGTTGCTAGCAATGATCAAACTTCACATCGTGATGATATTACTTAGTTGTCTTGCAACCTTCCTGCTTCTCTTTTCAGGGATCAGCCTAAATCGTAGACTGGCAACGCATTATCCACTATAAACTTATCTGGGCTGCATTTCAATATTCACTGCCAGTACTGAAAATATCTAGTTCAGGTCACGTATATTATAGATTTACGAATATAATTAACCAGTCTTAACACAAGAATACAAATGAGACCGAGAGCGCGGAGTTTTATAATATCGACTTTGACTACGACTATATATTCGACTATATATTCGACTTGACTTTCGCAGATAAGACGTCTGTCTCAACCGTCGACCGAAGAGAGAGTGTCGGGTCGCCGGTTGCTCCGAAAAATGGAGCACGCTGTCTGATTTTAAATCAAACAGAGATTGCATCAACCTCATAATGATTCGTCGAAATCGAAGAGTCGAAACGAGCGCTGCGATCGGTCGAGTGCTACTCTCGTCGATCGCCGAACCGTACTTTTTGACGCCATTCGGCGATCGCCTTAGGAACTTCTTACTAATAAACTTCTTACTAATAAACTTCTTACTATAATTCTTCTTACTATAATAAATAAGATTACCTGCACTATACTGCGCTATAATGCAGTATCGCTGCAACTTTAAAAGTTCCAGTCAGTCCCAGTCTACAATAGGTGATTTAAGTCCTAAGTCATAAGAAATTGATTAATCATAGTCGAAGAATAGAAGAATAATCGACTATGCTTGCAAATGATCTGATTCTGTAACAGGTTAGGTTTCGCGACTTCGTAAAACAGGAATAAAAAAAAAAAGGTTTGTGGCAAAATATTACCTCGAGAAAATATTACTAATGGATAAAATATGATAGAATACAGATTTGTATCTGCACCGTAAATGAGTTGGCTTGTTGTTCCTGCTGATTTTTAAATATGCAGCAGACAAAATGCTAGCAATTTGCTAGCAGATTGGCAAAAAAAAAATTCGATCAGATATTTACTGCAAATTTATAGGTCTGTGTTCACATCAGGCTTGGGACTTGTCGACAGAGCCTGCTGATATGCTATGCCAGCAGATTAGTGGCAGAAACCGAGCAGAGCCTGTTGATATACTACGCGAATAGATTGGTGGCAGAAATTGAGTAGAGTTTGTCTAAATTTCCTTATTGGACGAATATGTGTTTGAATCAAACATATACATAAACAAAATACGTAAAATAATAAAT